ATATATATATATATATATATAAAAGTTTTTAATAAAGTTAAAAGTTATTGATTCTTTTGTGTACAACTTTTTTTTTCATATATCGATTCAACTTGATAATAATAGAAAAGAATCATTTTTCAATTATACTGTCATTGATCTCGAGTACAGCAATAGTACATCTTTTAATAAAAAAAAGTAGTCAATACTTAAAAGAAACTGAATAAAGAAGGAATTTTGTATCTATTTAAACAGGCTAAGGACTGATGCGAAATGATTGTTCCATAGCACTTCTCTATGTAACTTATTCGTTAGTGTTTTAACGACAAATACACTCGATCATTCTGTTTCGTTCATTTCTTTTAGATTCTATTTAAACTTTCAGACAAATATTTTCCATTGATTTGAAACTACTATTATACACCAATGAATTATTTTTCATTATATTATATAAATCCATCATTTAATCATTTCATTTCTCATTGACTATCAATATGTTAAATATTATAACAGATCCACAAATTGAAATTTATCGAACAATTCACATTTAACCGATGTTGAAATATTACAAACTGTTAACAAGTAAATCAGATTTCTCAGTCTCAGTATCAATAAACAATTCAGTCCGATAAAATATTTTGTTGTTGATTATTGTTCTACTTTCGACGAACAGAATTTATGCAATGATTTTCAAATATTGAAATTATTTCACCAATTATATTAGCTAATTTAATATATCTTTCTATACATGTGTATCATGTCACATTTGTTGGATTTTAAATGTTTATTAATAAAATATATTCTAAATTAAAAGTTTTATCATTGACTATTCAATCTGAAGATTTTGCTTATCTTAATGCTAAACGATATGAAAAATTAATTTCAAAATATTTGGTTCAGTTAGAAGAATTTTATTTAAATAAAAATGAGTATAAGAAGTTGAAGATTCAATTCGATCTCACAAGCATCTTAAAAAAATATTGTGAATTAATAATTTTAGATATTAAGTCTGTTTTAAATGTAGCATAGATTATCATTTGGAAGCTCTGAAATGCAAAAAATTTTTGCTTGTACATTATTAATCCTTATATTATTTTCATTACATGAGCTGCTTTTTTTGAAAATGGGTTCTTTATCAATAGATGAACCATAAGATTTTTATGTAAAGAAGAAATAGATTATTTTTACTTGAACATCAATTGGTGACGCTTACCTTCACTCTCACTCACCCGTCCTCAAGATAAAACTACCAACACCATTTATTCTGTGCTACCCATTTTATCGTCAAAAAAAGCTTGAAGAGCTATGTCTAAGTATTCGTATAAAACGTGAAGCGAGGTTTTATTGGTAAAATGTTGATGGGTAGGTGAGCTCGGAGCTTTGAGTTTACCTGTAGAGGTCACTTGTTCTCGCCGATAATTTTATGCCAGATGAATATTACGAAACAAAATATAGTCTCTCGCTCGATCTAGATTTTATGTTTTTTCGGAAAGAAGTATTTAAATGGTAATTACATCAATCGGAAAGTTTAAGGCGGAAGATAAATGCAAATGTCTTGCTCTTGCAAATTTTTTTCTTAAAAAGGCGCAATATCGTGTTTTCGGAACTTCCATCCGTCAAAACTTCGTTGAACCGAGTGAAGAACTTCAATACTTCAAGTCCAAGTGCAAATAGTTGTTTGCAACCGTACCGAAAAAGCAGCAGAGTGCGTTGTTGACGTTAGCCAATGCGATTAATACAAATGACGTGGCATGTCATGTTTTTGATGTACTTTGTATAACCTTGTGAAGATAAGAAAAAGAAAAGAAAGAATTTGCATGTATCACATATTGTCTGCAAAATGATCATATAAACACACGTCTAAATCGGTAAAGGTAAACACGATAACCGGTTTTTAATCATTAGGAAAACGGACCCTTTCATGAAAATCATATAACTCAATTATTGCTGGATGTTTACTGAAAAATCTGTTGAATTGACCTTTCAAAAAGAAAATTGCTTATATCTTATATATTAGAAAAGGACTATTTTTTCAATCTTTAAAGGGAAGTGTTGTTTAATTTCTTTTATCTTTTATTAGCGATAACTTAAACTCGTAAGATTGAACTTTTCAAGAAAATTCAAAGAAAAAATGATTCTAATCAATTAAGATTAGGATAATTATTAATCTCTATTTAGAAAGATTGATCGATTAAAGGATTTCTCTAATTCAAGCATGTCAAAAAATAAATTAGGACGTATTGTTATTGTTGGAGCAGGACCAGGTGGACTTACACTAGCACGCATTCTACAGCTCCACGGTGTTGAAGTTAAAGTGTACGAACGAGAAAGTTCTATTGATGCTCGACCTCAAGGAGGAACTTTGGATCTTCATGTGGAATCAGGACAATATGCTCTTCAAATAGCAGGCTTATTTGACAAGTTTCAAACACTTTGCCGTCCTGAAGGACAAGATACGCGCATCATCGACAAATCTGGCACAGTTCATTATGAAGAAGTATCCAATGAAATGTGTTTTGATCGCCCAGAAATTGATCGACATGATCTACGACAACTACTTTTTCAATCACTCAAAGCAGATATCATTGCTCAAGGGCATAATTTACAAAGCATTCAATCGTTGAGCAATGGTCAACATAAACTTGTGTTCGACGATGGCGTAACGGATACTGCTGATTTGGTCATTGGAGCTGATGGTGCATGGTGGGTTTTGCTAAGAATTATAGTGACAATTGCCATAGATAATGACTTCTTTTAGGTCACGCATCCGTCCTCTTGTATCAAGTGCAGTGCCACAGTATTGCGGTGTTATGATAGTGGAAATACAATTCACCGAGGTTGATGATCGACATCCTGAGATCGCCAAATTAGTTGGCCGCGGCACTCTATTTGCTCTATCTGATAACAAAGGTCTTATTGGTCAACGCAATGGACATAATCGAATTCGTGTCTACATCACTCTACGTGTACCGGAGAATTGGGTCGCTGAGTCACGCATTGCTTTTGATCAACCAGAACAAGTTCGTGATGATCTCCTTCATTTATTTGCAGATTGGGACAATAGTTTGCTCAACTTTATTCGTTTTTGCGATGCTAATTTTATTCCACGCCCTCTATATATGTTACCTATCAATCATAGATGGGAAACGCAACAAGGTGTCACATTACTAGGCGATGCTGCTCATCTCATGTCTCCTTTTGCCGGTGAAGGTGTTAATTTGGCGATGCTCGATGCTACAGAGTTGGCTCTTGCCATCATCAACGCGGACGATTTAAAACAGGCAATTCACAACTACGAGCAAAAGATGTTTTCTCGTGCCGCTAAAGCTGCCGACGAATCTGCAACCAATCTTGATCTATGTATTTCACCTGGAAATGCAGCAAAACTAATGGCAGAACTCTTTAAAAAAATGATGGAAAGTGGACCATCAAATGATAAGGAAAATTTTGTTACTAGATAGTCAAAAGTTGCAATCTTACACTTAAATGAGAATGAAGATTATATAGAGTTTTAATATAAATGAAAAGACGTTTAGTAATATTATATCGAAGAGTTTATTATAAACAGAAAAATTCATTATATTTGAATCGAAGAAAGATAAATAAACGAATGATGTTAGACTTCTTCTAAAGTATTGATGAAGGTTTCGTCTGTCTCGAAGTGTTACATTTGAAATCTGCACTGATTTTTGAAAGTATTTTCTGTATCGAATGAAGTTCATCTGAAATCGAATACTGCACGATTCTATTTTTTGTGCGTTTCAAAGAGAAAGTTAAACATTGAAGAAACATATGATCTGCGAGTGGGTGAGAAAAGTGGGTGCGATTGTCACTGTGGTTGTGGGGTGTGCGTATGAGAGTGTGATTGTGACTGTAAGTGTGAGTGTGGCGATATGTGGACGTGGCTGTGAGGTGTGCGTGAGGATGGGTGTAGGTGTGGGTGTACGGTTGAGGGTCGGTGCTGGTGTGTCGGCGAAGGCGGGTGTTGGTGTGGCTATGGGCGAATTTGAAAAAGAGACAAATACCACGATCATACCAAACTTACACCCACATCCTGCTGATGCTTTTTGAAATGTCATTAGATTAGACCCTTGAGAGAATTTTTATTGAACCAATAGAATGACATTTCGAGAGGGCACATTCGAATACCTAGCTCGTTTTCAAACTGAAAACGGTTCCTAAGAATTCTCTTTTAGAATTGATGCCATATCATTTTATTCTCTCTGATCTTTGACAATATATACGATTGTGACGATTTTTGAAGCAAATAATTATTGTGCATAGCTGTATATTCAACGTATCAATTCTAGAAGCCCAATTCAAATCATGTCATTAGAATTTACTTCATTTATATATTGTTACGCAACAAATCATCGAAGATGAAAAATATTCTGTTACATTATCTAAGGCTTCTTGTAAAAACCTGGCTTTTCTTGAGCTTTGGTACATCGACTAGTGCATCCACAGATCGGTGGACAGCATTTTTCATCCGACGTACATTGACTGTCTCGCGTGCAGCAATAGGGGTCTGTCGCACACATCTTAGTAGCCGAACCAGGAGGACAGTAGATGTCGCACACCATGACACGGAGTGGACAGTAGCCTAGAAAAGTATAATCTTTATTTCCCTTTATTACGTATAGAGAGTACTCACCTCAAGGGGGAAAAAGCTCATTCGGACATTCCCGGCCATTCGGAATGGCCGGGAATGGTTGGGAATGGATGCGAATGGATGAGAATGGTCGGGAATGGATGGGAATGGTTGGGAATGGATGGGAATGGATGCGAATGGGTGCGAATGGATGAGAATGGATGGGAATGGATGAGAATGGATGAGTATGGATGGGAATGGATGAGAATGATCAAGAGTAATTTGAAATAGATGAAAACGATTTCATACGTTAGCAAGATGGTTATATTGGTGTTCGAAATATTTTAAGTTACAGTATTTGCTGGAAATAATTAAAACATTCTCAAATGCATCTTAAAATTTGGGGTCTTGAATATCAGTGTCTTTTCTTGAGATAAATGAACGCGTGTTATATTGATACGTATTTCAATCGATATTTGTTATCGTGATATTCAGAAAACTGCGTTTTTAGATGGAACTAGTTTAGTAATTATTTTAAAAAAATATGAGAAATGCAAATTCGTCTCATGAGGGAAGGTCCCTGGGTGTGACCCGGGGATTTCAACGAAACCTACATAGGTTTGTCAAGCCTAATGTTGGTATCTCATCTATAGATAAATTAGCGGCCCAGATTGAACCAGTGAAAAAATTTGAAGTAAAAATAGTTTTTGTCTCGGACCCTGCGGGGGACCACAGGCGTTTTTTGACTAAAACAAACTCGCAAAAAAAATTGAAATATTGATGATTCGATTCATTTTTCAACACTGATTCGAAATATGTGATTAGTTTTAACTTACACCGTACTCTGGTGACCGAAATCTGTAGAGTATTAGTTAAAAACGTATGAAATCATTTCTTAATAATAATTTTCTAGGAAGTTCGTAGGTAAAAAATATTTTAGGAACTCAAAAAATATACGCTTCTGTAGCATTTCAACAATGATATAGATTGTGATACGGAGAAGGAGAATCCGATAAATTGAATAATATGATTCTCTATGGATTAACTAGTACAGTAGGATTTTCAACTCCTGTACCATTGATCGTCAATCGAATGACAAATACAATAAAACAATAAACATCTTTTTCGATGGACTTTTTTAAAATGAATCACTGTAGAATTTAATGTTCTATTCGATGAAGTATAACGTTTGTGTGT